ATTGTGATAGGTAATTGATGACAAGTAAAAATACTAATGCGGAATACATAATGATGATCATTGATTATCATAATGAGATAACGATAGCAATGATGATGATTATGGCAATAAAATGAGCCAAAGATGAGTATTCTTGGATTTCGATATTGGAATTTGCTAGTATGATCAGTCCAACTGAAATACTGAGCAGTTAATAAATCATTTATTTATCATATATTAATATTAGGCTTTCAAGATCCTTTTAATGGATTAAGAGAATCAAATTTTTTGATGGTGTCTATTATCCGGTTAATGGGAAATTATGTATGTCCCATATCGATTTTAGCATATTGTGCTGAGCCTATTCTATGATGTTAGCATATTCCTTTTTTAACTGGCAAAGTATTGGTAAGATGAGGGAATATTGTATGTAACAAGCAGATCAAAAAAAATTTTAACATATTGGAAAATGTTCCAGATCTTTTTACCATAATTGTTGTATATTGTAGTGGGTTCTAATGGAATGTAAACCAAGACCTGACACAGTGAAATCCCATTTCAAATATGTGTCGGACAATGCGCGAAGCAGCCAGAAGCTAACTTTGATCGAGTATAACGCTGAAGATAAGATTTTCAAAGCACTTCAGCTACGAAATGCTTGTGAAATGAAGATGGGCATCAGGCGGAGAGACGGTCATTACTTTTTCGTAGAAGAAGTGGTTTGGATGGTCGAAACTGGCTTGGCTGTTGTTTTTCATCGTGGAATACAATTGTCTGTACAAGAATGCTACCGGTTACTCGGAATATTTCTAATTACACCCGAAAAATTTTTCGTTTATTCATACTTGAAACGTGCCGGCTATATCATAGTACCTTACAAGGCTTTTGGAATCTCTGTAGATAGCGGTAATGATGAGCGATGGGAGCTTGTGTCAAAATTTCTCTTTCCTGTTAATCTTCTGGATCAGTTTCCCACTGATAAGTCCATGAAGCTTACAGTGACCAATTTTCGCCACAATCCGAAATTAATGGAAGTATTTGGTATATCCGAAGATTTCCCTACGTCAAACATCGAATCAGTTCAGTGGGATAAGTGTAGTGAAAGTCAAGGGAATTTCAAAGAAATCCTAAGGCCTCGTTACTGGCCAAGATTCGATCAGTTTTCTAATCGTGTCCCCACCTGGTCGGATTACCGTAAGGAGCGAGCAAAGATATTGAAACTAAATTCTGTAAAGGATATCTCAGGTTCAATTCACTTGCCTATTGATTATGATATTTATGTAGGGGATGGTACATTTTGTCGTAATCTTTCGCCAAAACCAATATACCGATTGTTGGTTGTGGACATCCGTTTTCCATTCCCATCCGTTTCTGACTTGCATTGGTTAAGTTCGAAGATTCTTGACGGGAAGTTGCTAATAGCTGTTGTTCAACAAGCTGCCATTGTATTTTATAACATCGACCACCAAACAGTTTGTCTGTAAATAGAAAACATTTTTGATCCATACAAGAGAGAGTGATAATATATTTGAGTTCATTTTGTTTAGATTTTTCCGACTGAAAACGGACTTTCTCAATGATATATATTCTGTCAATGTCAACCATTCTGTAAGATCAAACACTGATTAGATTTGTTGGTATCGTATTTAATTTTTCTTGTATATTGCTTTGGTTTGTTGTTCTTTTGGAATGAAAATTTCCCAAAATTTTGTCATTAAAATAATTTTAATCAAACCCCTCCTTTTGACTTAACTCAAACTCAAAGATTTTTTTATTTGCACATCTGCGACATTCCTCGATCATTCAGCCATTTTGAATCAAAATATTAGGATTTTAATTTTGGAGAGCCGAACTTATCATGGTTGTATCTAAAACATTTGCGATCATATGAGATTATTTAACTTATTGATTCGTGAATTTTAATGGAAAAATTAAAAATTTCGAAAAGCTTATGTTTTGACATTTCTTATGGGCAACGTAGTTCCATGTTGAACCCAGCAATAAAAGCACGATGAAAGGGAGAGATTTAAAGAGCTTGAATAAATAAATAAGCAATTTGCATATATCGCAAAAATTACTTTGAATCTGATGTGTGTTCGTAAGTGATGAATTTGACGCAATTTTATGTCATCTAAAATTCTCTGAGAGTTGATTCCGTTTTGTATATGTCTGCTTTCACATGGCAGTTACTCTTAGGTGGGTTAGAAATTGTGTTTACCAGTCCTCGCATAAATTTGAATAAATTTTTAATTTTTATTTGAACTGATTCTCGCGGTGATATTGGTTTATGACACAATGCGGAATATCTGTTTAGTCACAAATTCCTGCACCGTTCGTTATGAACAGCGCGATTTATTATGTGCATTTTTTTTCTGAAGCTAGAACGAAACGAAAGCTGTAGAAGTTAATGTGACTGTCATTTTTATGGATTTTTTCTCTTTTTTAAATTTTATAATTATTTTTCTCTTTTGGTGCCTTTTGATATATTTTTTTTGAATTGATTTTATACGAAATCAACTCGAAAAAAATATATCAAAAGGAATTGAGTTCTTATAAATGTAGGTTTTGATGGGGTTGCTAAATATTGGAATAAATTGAATTTAGAAAAAAGTAATTATTTACAGATTATTTTAGGGAATACATTAGAAAGTCTTATGAAATATGTTCAAGCGCTGTTGTAAGTGATAACTTCATAAATTACAAAACTATAGAGTTTAATTGTTTGGGTTGAAGGAAATTCTGATCCAAGTAACAAGGGTATTGTAGCATTTGTAATCGTAATAACTTGCAAAAAACTTGAGAAGATATCATCGATGCATGCATGAAATACTCTGTTTTCATTTTCGAAGTAAAGGATTTTTTCAAAGGTTGGTTTTGATGAGTTTCCAACAATCTGGCTTGAAGGAAAATATTCACATATCAGAGGAAACTACTGAATGTAAGTCGCTCATTTATATACTTTCATAAAGTTTGGCAAGCTGTCTATTCTTACACTTTTTGTTTCTATTACTGGAACTTGCTTTAAAGAAGTGAAAATTTAGAAATTAATCTTACCCAAAGCAAAATTGACTACCATTTTTCAGTGATCGAAAGTTTAGCTCTTTTGCTTCGTGTTCCTCTAACATCATCCCAGTTGTCGATTTGCGTGGAATTGCTGCAAAAAGGTGTTTCACATCGAAGTCTCGTTGACGCTATAACTCGTTATTCTGGAAAGGTGCACTATTTTTTTCTGTTAAAATTGAATCAAATTAATCCAATGTGGTATTTATTTTATTACTTAGTTTTGAGTAGAAACAAACAAATATGTGTCAAAGTATACATATCGACAAAATGAATTTCTATCATCCAGCCGAGTTATTTCATTTTTTTTTGGGTTTTAATTGAATTTTAGAGACCTAAAAGGGAAACCAATTAAACAAAAGAATGCGTCGAAGCAAGCGGCATCGTAACAGTGAGCTGGATAAAGACGAACAAAAGTTACAAATCGCATTGCAAGATATCCATAAAAAGGTTTCAGAAGAATTTCATGTTCTAAATGTTTATCTTTCTTGAACTTCAACCTGAACATTTGTACGGAATGATAGAGCGACCGAATAACTTTGAATCTAATATGTGTTCTTGGAATTTCAAAGTAAATCAGAAAAAGGAAAGGGTGTTCATTTCCCTAATCAAGATCAAATAGATTATTCTGGCAGCTTCCAACCGTGAAGTAAATTAAGAATGTTCACTATTTCTTTCAGAAAGCCCATGTTCAGCTTGTTTGCATTGCCAAGATTGACAGCTTGCATCAGATGGTCGAGATAGTTTTGATGATTGTATTAATGGAACAGCTTATTTAAGTCCATTAGTGTTTTTCAAATTAACTGTAGAAGGAATAAGTTACAGATTATAGATTTTTGGTTATAAAAGATTTGTATTTTTGACCGTATCAAACTCAGTTCGTTTTTCAATAAAAGGATTTGAAATTTTGCAAATGGCTTTTAAATATTTAGCTTTTGAACATAACTTTGGATTTTGAACACCCGTTGTTTGGATTGTTTTCAAAACGTTGCTTTACAGTTATTTTATAGATGAAGTCGGTCATTCCGTTGAAAAAGAAAGTTAATGAATCATTGTCCGCCTTGCAAGAATTAGTTGATAAGAATAAACTCAGTATTGGATGCAAATTGAATGGTCCTCTGCGAGGTCGGGTGTTAAACCTCTATGAAAACGGTATTCATTAGATTTTATTCGTTATTTATGCATATATTTGTTAAATTAGTTGCCTATTGGCGAGTTTCAAGAATTATTCCTCGAGATCCCAACATTCAAGTTTCATATCTGCTTCTTTTTGTCTTTTTTTTTTAAATTTTTGTCCAGAAGTAATTTCACTCAACAAAAGTAGTGGGTAGAGAGCACGAAATTTCTTTTTTTTTTCGTTATATTTATCGAAAGATAGTTCTGTAATATTTCTCATTATGTATATATCGAAGATGCTTCTGGAATCTTTTTATGCTGAAATTTAGAATTATATTTCTCCAGAAAAAAGTTTGTCTTGTAAAATTTGTTCATTGCATGGATTTTCACAAACTAAGTTAGAGATACAAATATTGTTAATTTAGTATTAATTTATTATTTCCTATGTTAGGATTTGGCTATTTATAAGTCGCTACTATTTCTGTTCATTTCATGGTTGAAATGTTATTGATTAATAGAATACTTTGTTCAGCTAAAAAAGCCTGTGAGGTGGAATCCACTTGTGTAAGAAGACTTTTGGAGGATATTGAAAAATTACGTAAAAAGAGATATGAACTACAACGCGGTAATCTAGTGGGTCGTGGCGAACTGATGCAAATGTTGTCGCAGAGTGCTCGCACTGCTCCGCTGTGGATTGGGCCTCCAGATACTCATCCACCTGCATTAGTTGGTGCAATTCCGGCACCTGTATCGATGTCTTTGAAGGTTTGTTTCTGCAATTAAAGCACAGCCCTATTTTCAATAAAAGGATTTTAACTCAAGTTTTCTTTGAAAATTACCGTAATCATACTGAGATGCAAAGTTTTAGGTTGGTATGGAAGTGGCCGCATTCATCGATGGAATATGGATGCTTGCTGAGGTAACTAGTGTTTTTGCAGCTTCAAAATATGAGATTAAAGATATTGATGATGAACAAAAAGCTAAATATATTGCTCGAAGAAGTCGTATGATTCCGCTACCTCGATGGCGAGCAGATCCTATGCGTGACAGTCATGCGCTCTTTCCTGTGGGTGCTATTGTGCTTGCACTTTATCCTCAAACAACATGCTTTTACAAGGTAATTGCTGAAGTATTGGACTATGGGAAGGTTCACTGAAAGAAGAAAGCTAATTTATCTTAAACGCTAGTTTGTTATACGCAGGACGAAGGGAATATGATGATAACCAAATTCGGAATTTTGGTCTCTTATTGGTTTTTTTCAATATTATAGCTTAGAAAATGAGAATTTCTGTTATTCTTCGTCTCATAAGATGCATTTCCTATTCAGGGAGTAATCGATCAATTACCAGTTACAGCAATCGACGATTATTTGGTTGCATTCGAGGATTCAGCTTTTCCACAGGGTTATTCACCTCCTCTTCCAGTTCCCCAACGCTATGTTCTCACTCATAAAGTGCCAAAAATATATAAACGTCGTGCTGCAAAGAAATGAATAAATCAAATGTTGAACACATCAAAAACTTTGTTTTCATGAATTCAGGACGTTTTCAGCTGCCTAACCACAGTGCTGATTAAATGGAAATATGTAACGCTTCAGTGTTTCTTTTTATTGAGTGACCTTTCATATAATTTTATTATTAAAAATATATGCAAGTGAATGTACAAAAAGGAGCATTTTCAAAATACCTAACATCATTCCTGCAATAGGACATCTCTTTTGGAAAATTGTAGGCATCATGATCTTCTCTGTAAAAGATTTTTTCTTGGATAAAAGTGTTTTGTTTCATTTCTTCATTGTAGGGATATCTTTTTGGTCTTTATTCACTTCCCTAGTTCTTCCAGTCTTGTTGTAACTGTTCTCGCATTCAGGTTTAAGTGTTTTATTAGAATTTTAGGAAGATTAATACTCATTACTATTGCAGTACAATTAAATAACAGAAGTAGTGTGTTTTTAGGTTTTAACGAGTTCCGTGGGAATTTCATGTTTTCAATATTTGAAATTTAAAGTGATTAATAATAATTCCAGGAAATTAATTTAATATTTGTGTTGAAAACTAAATATATTAAAAATATTCGGGTCGGTGCATCTTCACGAGTATGTGTGAAGTAGAATTTAAGTTTTCCAATATTCCACACTACTGCACTATTATTGGTCATGCGTAATTATTTTATTTATATACATATTTGTTTGTTTCGATTACTGATGTAAGCAAATCCGTTGCTGATATAATTTATCTGCACAGGTAGTGTCAATTTTTTATGATTGCGTCATTTCCATCATTATCAGTTTGGTCGATAAAATGATAAAAAAAGCATATTCTTTACTATCTCCAGGCACATAAAACTAACCTTATCTCTTTGATTATCTGAAAAGTATATGCGGATTGATTGGGTGGTTTACGCATGATTGAATCTGTAACTTTTGTATTGGGAATTTAATAGGTTTATGTATGTTTTTGTTAAGGTTTTTTTGGATTAAATTCGATCGATTTATCAATAAGATCTGTGTGTGAAAAAAGAAACACCGACTACGTGAAATAGGGGAAGTATAAACGGATGTCAGGATATTGTAGCGATTGTGGTGCAACAGATTTCACACTTGTAGATGGTTTTTTCTATTGTGCAGTGTGTAACACACAGTCACAGGTGAGGAAAGTCTTAAGCGTGTTTATTTGTGGTCGTGAAAGTAAAGGGGTGTAGTAGTGTTAATGCTCAGAACAGTATGTAAAGAAGTTAATGCGTGTTTAATATCATAAATACAGTGATATAAGTAGTACGTAAGCATATAATGTATCGATTCATCAAATTTGATTTTCTTAGATTCATCTTTTTGTATTGAATTATATTTTGATTATTTTCCAATGCAATAAACTAAAAGTTGTTCACCACTGCATTGTTATGCTATATTTATATAGGTTCTTCGTGAATTTGATCATGATGATGAAGGCGCATTTCTAATGTCGGCACCATCAACGAAGATTCGTCGAAAGAAGACCAGAGCAGGCAAAGGTGAAAGAGAAAAAAAAGACAAGGTAATGTGCCTTTGTTTCATTAGTCTGTCATTTTTCTGTTTTCGCGATGAAGATAACAGACTTTTTTGTAACTTTTTCATGCATTAGTAGAAAATAAATCAAATGTTCCATAAGCAATGATAGCGAAGTAATGAAATGTATGGAATTTATTCTAAGCCAATAATTGGGAATTTTCTAATTGCAATTTAGGAAGAAGTAGTTGATGGGGACTGTCACTTGCCAGCTTTGAAACAGGATTTTCCGACATATCTTGGACATGCTGGTTTACGGCTGGCGACATTTACAAAATTACTTTCACAGTTTTCGGCAATGCTAATTCGTGACTTTGGTGTACCAGAATGTGTCAAGGTTTTTATTTGTTGTTTCGCATTTTAAATGGAGCAACCTGAAGTTTGTAAATTAATTTACGCAAGTTTATGAATTTGTGATTTTGTTCCAAAAGGAAAGCAATGAGCTTCAGTAGTATGATATCCAGCATTTCATGGATTATTTTTCGTACTTTGAGACGAGATGTTTTACCATTCGATTAATATTTATGTCTATTCTTGAAAAGTTTGTGAAAATTGAATAGGCGCAATTTTATTTTTCATTGATGGTCAGCTTTATGATTTCTTATGTTTTAGTGGCAGGTGCTTAACATCTTGCAACATTATCTTCAACATTTCCGAGTAGCATTCTGTGAGGAAGAACTGGATGAAGGAAACTCATATTGTCCATTAGTAAAGAACGAAAAATAGTAAGAAATTATAATTTGGGTTTACAAAACTTCGTTTGATTTCATCACAACGTCAATAAAGAAAACTTAAATTATGTGTGGCACTTGAAACTGTTATTAAATATAAACAAATATTCTCTACTTTAAATTCGGGTCTCGAGAGACCTTCATTAATATGACTTGAATTTATATGATAATCCGATATTTTTATGCTGCTTCCAGTGGTTGTTTTATGATTTAACAAAATACGTAAAAAATATATCTACAATATTATGTTATTTATTTGCTCACAAAATGCTATAACTTTTAATTGAAAGAAAAATGGCAAAAGTTTTGGTCTGATGCTAGATTCATATCGACATAAATGAAAGAGATTTTCCCAGAATTCCTATAAAATTTATTGTAGTGAAGCACAAAAAAAAGCGAAGGAAATGAAAATTAAAGCACAAAAAGAAGCGCAATTGAGGCGTGGAGATAACGTTATCTCGTTATTATCAACCCCGGATATCACGGCGAATCTGGATGTTCATACTCATGACCTTGATGTAGTATGTTTATTGCTTTTAACATTTTTGTAGCGCTCAGTGTTCGTTCGTGGCCCAGTATCCAAAGCCAACTTATTGCTCGCTTATATGAATCTAAAATCTAACATTGCGATTTGTTTGAGATTGCTGAATACAAAGTAATCTTCCGGTTTAAAGATTAACCCATAAAAATGGAACACTAACTGCAAATGGAATAATTAATCAGTGCTAATTTTTTCAAATGTTTTTAAGGATGATCTAGAAGCTATAATAGAAAAACGAACGAAAATATCGAAGGATGCGTTTTCTACAGTAAGTTTCCCTGTGGTTTCTTTAATTTTGAAAAACCCTAATTTTTCCAAACGCACGAAAAAATCTATTAGCATTAATCAATTTGTATTTGATGCAAAGTTAGGTTGTCTCTGTGATCCTCTGAATAAAGTCAAAAAGTATCGTGAAAGCAAAAGTGAAGTTTATTAATTAACAGTTTAGAACTTATGCTGCAGGGAGAATGAGGATATTTAAGATAAAGTTAATTTATCAGTTTAGCTTATACGAAATAAACATTTAGGCCATACTGGAGATTAAGTGCACTTTTCGATCGTCAATTGACATTGCTTATGTGATTTGTCATCTTTCATGCTTAAAACTCATGAGTCATAATGAATGATGGCGTTTGGTCATACCACTTCTAACTACTTTGTTTTTCAGCTTTTGCGTGTTCCAATGAGTATTGAAATTATTATGGTTATCCTTTATTTGGGATGTCTACTCTCTGGTGCAAATTGGGTGTTATTATCTGATGTTACACGGTATTTACAGTATCTTTTGTCCTAGAAGTTCAAGATTAAAATTGGAATTATTTTTCATTATTTCTCATTTAAGTAGAAATTACAAATACTTTTCAGGTGGTTTCGTGAAGGCCGATTTCCAATATCATTATTTCAATCTGCAGCTTTACTTGTTGGCGGTAAAGGAAACGACATCTTTAGTGCGAAGGGACATTCTTATTGTCCGAGGACACCAGTATGCACCCTTTGCTATTTTTACCTTAGAAAAACGAACTTATATATTTTCATAATGTTTCTTAGTTATTAGAAGATTTTTTCACCGACTAATATAGAAACTAGCTTATAGACTTTTTTTAAAAAAAATTAAAGTTATGAAATAGCGAAATACGAGCCAAAGCTTTGCTCCAGAGTTTTTAGACAGGGAAAATTTGTCAGATCAGGTTATGTTGAGAGCCGCAATAATGTCGGCACATGCTTTGTTTGCATGCAGTGTATATTTATCCAGCAACTCAACTATCGAACTGAGATATTATGCATTTACGCAAATGTGCAGGGACCCAGGAAGTTTCTGTTAGGTAAAAGCGATGAGAATAGGGTTGTGCTTAATTATTGGATAAAAAGTCAATTTCAGTTCTCTTGTTTTTTACAAGTCGACCTCTTCCTTAGTGCTGTCAACAAGCAACTGCATGAGGGTTTTGTCCTAAGAAGGGAAATGAAAGATGTTGAATCTCCTCTTCCTATTGTATTTTTATCTTATTTAACAATTTAAGACAATGCCGCTGCATGAATATATACGAACGATTATGGTGGTTGCCCAATTAACTGATATTCCGGTGCAACCAGTTTCTTACTCTTTTGACCGGGTAAGTTTGCACATTTTTCAATATTAAGTTTATAAAGCTGTATTTCAAAAATCTATGGTCATAATGATCCTCTCAATTTTTACTTCTTATAGGTTTCTTTCGATTTCTACATGAGATTTTCATTAGTTGGCGATCATAATGAAAGACAGCCTTTCTTTAAAAATCTTCATGAAAATTTCGCATATTCAGAAGTAAGATGCTCAAAAAATTATGGTCTATATTGCAGGTCTTAGCTCGCCTTAGTTACAACCTTAATTTGCCGATTGATTTCATAAAACATCTAAACACTATTTTCGTTATTTCCTCTCCAAATGTTGTCTTCGATGCGCAGTTTATTCATCGATTCGGTACTGTTAATTCAGAGGCGTTACTGCAAAAGGCAAACAATGCCTACTGTGATAATATCACTTTTGCGCTTGAGCAGAGCACTTATCAGTTGGAAGAAGGTTGCGGTCGACAGTAAGCGATAAATTCTTGTTTTTTTTTATGCTATCCTCTACTTAATGCACTTCACTTCAAGTTCCGAATTGCTTATTCATCATACCTGTCTTCTGAAATAGAAAAAAAAAGCTAATAATATTAGTCGAAAGATTTTCAGCTTCCCTTTACATTTTTATTTCATTACTATTCATATAATCTGCATTTACAATTTAAAAAGCATTTTTTTTCAAAACGAACGCATCAATGAAGTTTATTTGACAAATTTTATGAGTTAATACTTTCAGTTCCGCTTTTCGATCAATTTCCTTTGTATAAGCTTGACAAATTATTTCCTAGTACCTTATTTTTCGATTGTAATATAGGTATTCTATAATGCCATCTATCGATGTCAAGGCAGTTGCAATAATACTTTTTGCGCTGAAGTTGATATTCGGCCTCAATGATCATATAGAATTCAATATGAAAACACAGGTATTTTAAACTAAAAATTTTCGGAAAACAAATCGATTATCAACAGATTTTTGCATTTATGAGGTGATGTTTCTAGTTCGATGCAGTGAATACCAAAGAAGAGCTATTTAATTTTGGTCTTTGGATACAGCAGTTGAAAATGCGCATGAATGTATGGCGCGGTAGGCGTTTAAAGGATGTTTTGGAAAAAAGGTATTGTTTTCACTTTCATTATTTGATGACTATAGTCAACAGATAAAAAATTAATTAACTCAATCGCATAATATTAATTTGTAACAAGCATTATCCTCAGAAATTTTAAGCTTTAGAGGAAATACCACATAGAGAGACATGCTCATTGAGTATGTTCACATTCCAACTATTCCATTTAATTCCAACCATTGGCGCCTTTATATTGAAATGAGCGTTCGAATCAAATTTCATTAAAGTAATGTACAGATCAATCAAAAAATTGGGTGAATGTATATTTTACCATAATTTAAAGACAATCGATCTTCAATCAAGTGATACATTAACATTTTCAGGACAACCGCCCTTCCTAAATATGACTCCGTGTTTGAAAATTACCGGGTGGTACTCGTTCGTGAAAATTATCGAGGAGAAAAGGTGTCGCAGACTGGTACTGGTCGAATAACGGGTGGTCGAAATTTATATTTTAAAGTAAAATCACTTTACAACAGTATTGGAAGCATAGTTAATTTGTTTTTGTTAATGCATTTACAAAATCTAGCATATTTTAGGGATGTGTACCAAATAATTTTGTGAGGGAAAAACGCGATTATGCACTGTGTAGTACTTTTGAGGATGATTTCGATTTCACGCCATCACGAAGCCTCAGCAAAGAAGCTTTGTTAAGTAAGTTACTTGTACGGCCGATGTCAGTTTTTATCTATCCATTTATCCATGTATAAAGCGAAATGCTCTCAAATCGTCACCTTCATCAAATATTTAAACAATGATTTTAGGGATGTGTACCAAAAAAAACCAATGAATTTAATGATTCTTTGGATCTTTTGATCTTTGTACTTCTAAATATTACCTGCATATAATTGTTTTAGCACCTCTTCGTTATCAAGCAACCCATCATCTGGAATGGTATGAAATACTAGAAAAAAATACTTCCGTAGATGATTTTAAAAACATTGATCGGTAAGTATCATTTCTTGTTTTTAGAAACAGAGGCATGATTATCATCTATATATCTAACCTAAATAATTTTTATTCTTTGCAGATATAATGCCGATATCTTTTTTAAATCATTCAAAAATCATCGAATGGAATATGAAATTGTGAAATCCTCTGAAAACAAAAAAGTACTAAGAAGCGAGGTGTAACTAATTTCATTTTTTTAAATTCATTTTTTGCCGGTTTATTTTAGTATTTTTTGAAAAAAGGAACAAAATAATGGCCCTTTGTCATTTATAAAGAAAGGAGTTTGCATTACTTTTTGGAAAATTTCCTCGAAATTTTTTTTTACAAAGTTTATGATGTTATAGGGTTTGTGTAACTCAGATAAAATGCGAACGAAATGGCGCCAACTATTTCCATGCTCGGAACATTATGAAGTAATTATTTGTATGTCAGCATGAACTGTTGAGAAATTGATGTTTGAAAATATTACGCTCTGAAATCCTAATACTTTTTTTTCAGTGCTATCCACGACCACGATATTGTCCCGGATTGCTCAAATTCACTGCTGGCGAACTAATTTATATCCCTATGATTTATACACCTGGTATGACTTTACATATTTACTAAATTACCTTTTATAAAATATCAGATTACAATCGAAAGTTAATTGTTTTGTCACTGATTTTATAATTTTCTACTTAACGATATATGCGTGTTCCTTTGATCCAATTAATAATATTCTAGCGGTGGACATTATATATCAGAGCGCGTCGTCATATTTCAGCGAGTCGTTCAGTGATCTTCTTGAAATTCTCTCTCTAATGATTGGAGAAGATATGAAAATTGTTTACACGTTTTTTTTAATGTTGGAGATGAAATGCTTAATACCCAATACGTTTGTTTTTTGTAATCTTTTTCAACCATATTTCTATTTAAGAAAACATAATGAAAATATCCTCATTTTGCTTGCAGATTGAATGGTTTCGATGAAATTACAAAAAATTGTGAAAAGTTTACAACTTGTGCTCAGGTAGAGCTGCTGGGTGATGAGCCACGTAATGTAAAAGTTCAAATGTGCCGTATAAATGAAAATGTCGCAAGGGCCGATTTCAAATTCTTGGTGGTTGGTAGTTTTTTGTGTATTTCAGGGGAAGTACCCAAGTGCATTTAATACATTTAACCTTTCTCTTCATCTTCAGTTGTGAATTGTCATTCCTATATAATACGTAAATTAGCTCCTTTTGATGATAGTTGTGTATTTACACAGTGCCCATCGGCTACCAGTATTGCGGTATTATACCGGAATTAACATATTTTCTTTTTTTTTCGTTGTTTTTTGTTGTCTTTTTTGTCATTCATTTCTTCCTTATAAGATAACTAAATTTTTTAATACTAAACTGTTCATAAAAACAGTTTACACATTATATTTTTATATCTTAACATATACGTTTGAATGCTTAATCTTTTTCTGTTAACATTTTATTAGTAGTTTAACAGAAAATTTGAACAATCTATGTCAGACACATATCGGAAACATACCAATCGATGTGGAGAAAACTTCAAAAACACCGGTGAAACGGAGGAGGCAGAAATCGTGTAATTATTTATAAATTTATGCTTTTGCTTGTTTCTTTCAAGTTTTCTCTATGCTTTTTTTACCTGTACTGTTACCTGAATCACTAATTGAAAATAGTCCATGGATGATTTGCAGGTGATCTTGCTCCGGAAAAACGGTCAAAAAAACAAAGAAGGCGACTGCCTGTAGCAAAATATTCTGTAGAACAAACTAATGGTAATACTTCGAAAAATTTATTTTCTAAATTTTCGTTTTTTGAAAAATCTCTGGACCTTTAAAATTTTATTAACAATCTCTGTTCAGTAACAGTCGATAAACAACAATCATCATAGATTTCGAAACAAAGCACTATAAATTTTTTCACACTCATGTAGTGAAAAGTCCGATCACCGGCAAAGAAAATCTTACACTTTTACATAAACCAGGTTAACGGATATTTCCAGATATGGAAGAGGAAGAGAATATATTCAAAAGGACACATAACGAGGAATTAGCAAACAATTTTAAGCGAATGAATTTACATCTAGAAGGTAGGAATTTCATAAATACAACTTCCAGAATCGAATAACAAGCCCATTCTAATCTGGCAAGAACAGGTCAATCAAATAGAACAGCATGGAAGCTAGTGTTTTGAACAAGCTAGTGTTTTGAAAAAAAAAAAAGCTAGTGTTTTGAACAAAAAACAAGCTAGTTTTGAAAAAATAAAGAAAAGAGGGTAAGAAAAGTTATTTTCAAGTGCAGATCACCATCCTATGTTAAGTGACCCATAATAATTGTGATTGGAAAAAAGTGTAACGACATTATTACTCATATTTTTCTAAAAGTTTACGATTTTTAGCTCACTGTATTTTGCAAATTTATATTAAATAAAAAAAAAAGCATTTACACCTTTACAGAAAAGCAAACGTCACCATCTGATAAAACGAATACCAGTTTCAGACCGATATCTAGCTGTAATGCAAACACAGTACTAAGTTTAAGCGATGATGGTAAGGTTTTAATGTCATCTTCATGTTGTTTAAACTTGAAGTACATATTAAAATTTAGTGATGTTTGATTCAACTTAAAATTACTTATTTTGCAGAAATAAGCAGTACTATTCCCTCACGAAGACAGAAGTGTCGGAAGCAAGATCTCATGTCAGAATTTTCGAAGACGAATATTTTTAAGCAATCACTAACGGGAAGGGTGAGTAACGACATATCTTGTCGAATTTTTCAGGATTGAAATTCCTGAATTTTTACCAACTAATATTATATCTGTTTGCGAAATTATTTTCGAGAACATTAAATTCCTCCTACCTTCGGAGGTCGTTATTCTTCAAAACGTAATTTTTTAATAAAATCGATCGACCTTTTCAGATCAAGAATCGGTTCTCAGAATATTTTAATTTCGAATTCGAAGCTGCATTTGCGCTGACAATACCAAAATATTGGTGATAAAGTCCCAGGACAGAAGAGAAGAAACTGTTCATGTAAAGATCATGCCACACACACACATTCACACATACATACATACACACACGATTCGTTGAAAAAAAGAAGTGCAAAATTAAGCCGCTAATCTATTAGCAGATTTTTCTTGTCCTACCTATACTGCACCGCAAGCTACTATATAGTACATACTGATCTGCAATAAGTTCCATATTTTTAATTGGTTCTTTCTTGATTCAGTTCGTGTGTGTTGTTCTGAGTTGAATTGCATTAATTGTGTCGTTCGCGGAGTGCATAAAATTGTGAGAAAAAGTGTTATAACCTTCTTTCATCGAAATCAATAATTGGTCACTTCAGCTAACTCCAGCAAATACACTATATAGAACAACTTCGTTCGATATGAAGAGTAGAGCATGCACATAGAGCGTACCTATTCAATGTGTTCAGCATCACAGAACCCAAAGGAAGATTCATATATTGCCTCCATAATTCAGTCTTTCAAATTCGCTGATGGAATCAGTTTCATTCATATATTGAATCAAATAATATCCAAATTGGAAATCGGTAACAAAATGACATAAAGAATCAGTAAAAACATAACAAATTAACAGGAGGAAACATTACCAGCTTGCATCATGTTAACAACTATATACAGCCTGTCCTGTGCTCCGATGTTAGGAATATTTGTCTTACAAAGAGTCAACTTAAATCAGTTCATAGGGAGGGAGCTATGAAATCATTGCTTTTTTTGTTCGCCTCCTGTGAAACCAAATTATTGCATTTCTTAATCGGACGAGTTTCTACTATATTTTAATTAGGGACTGCCTTCATATTGTCTCCACATCACTTCACGAATCACAGAGTGTGTCCTTTGTCCCATTGTGTTCTATTTAATTTTCCCTTTTGAGGACAAATATCCTGCATTATGTCTTAGAAATATGTTGGAGTTAATACACACCGAAAAATATTCCTGACGGCACGAGCAAAATTTCCAAAAATTTTCCATTGAGAACCCAACATAAATACTTTTTTTATTTGTTTGAATATATAATGAAACAATACGAACAGCTACACGAGATTAAAACCATGACTGTGTTCTAAGCATATGAGTAACCTACGTCGCATCTCCTCTCGATCGGTGATATCTGGCAAGTCGAGCAAGTTAAAACAGGTATGTGCCACTGGCAATGATTTCTTATCACATGGTTGTATTTGCATCCTCACTGCTGACATACCCTTCAAATGAAGAATTTTCAAATTTTTAAAGAATTCATTAATGAATCAAACCACAATTGTAAGATGATCCAAACTTCCATTAACAAAATCATATTTAGCAATAAATGTTATTAGAGGAACTTTGCTTATTGCTTTTTTATCAACAAAGATTAAGTATCAAAAACAACTCTTTCTAAGCAATATCAACTTTTCATGCAAAATATGAAAAACCTGAATCGGTATCCTCGTGCTTCCCATTAAAAACTGCAAAAATTTCTTTCTTTGAACAATATTTAGCTCAAAGAAAACTTCCCAGAAACAAAGAATAGCCTCATGTCGTGCGTGATATATCCCTTTGTATTCCGTATTCTGAAACCAATGATTATAATTATAATTAACAAACAGACATGTAAACTGCATCCCGGTTTTGCAGAGCAGTCACGAAAAAAATCCACCGATCAAGTCCCAATGAAGTCATTCAAAGCCGTACAGTCAAAGGTGCGGAAAATAATCATTACTGGCTCACAATTCTTCAATAAAATTCATATTGAAAAAGAAAAAAAAACGCACTTGCCGAAACAGATTCCAATCATAATTTTCGTTACCAACAACCATCTCCATCAGCTCTTGCGGTTGAAAGAAATTCATGATTTTTGATTGCATCACACTTTCAAATCCTTCAGTAAACGAACGCATCTGACGACGTATTTCACCCTCGAAGCCTTCTTCCAAGCGTTTATTTATATAAAGCTAAACTGTCCAAAAATTTTATCACAGGCAAAATTTTGTATAAGAGAATGTGGCCAATCAAAGTGGATGAGTACCTTGAATCATATAGAAAAGAAGAATTCTATTAACAAAGGAAAAACAATTACAACAGCTGGATGGACAATCACTTAGTATTCTAACCAGTGCCAAGAGCTACAGAAGAGAAAGATGCAGAAACCTGGACAAATTCATGCTTATTCTTTTGATTCACTGATATTTCAGCACCATTCGTTTTCAACTCGATATCTTTACTGTCACCCAATAAGGATATGGAAATCACGAATGTCAAGCAAAAAACTTCTTCGATATCATCTTCTTCATAATCCAGAAGACTTCTCAATGACCTGAAATACCGACGATGCGTAAAAATTTATCAAATATTGCTGCACGGATTGCAGATATGACTAATAGAGAGTTCAGTTATATCAAAAAATATATATCGTTTCAGCAAGTACCACCATTTTTTAAGTTAGAAAAAATCACCTTCCTTCTGCAGGACTCAGTTCACTCAAATCTTCAAGTTCTAGTGGAACATCCAAAATTTTTTTGTACAAGGCCAAAGGAAATGGAAAGTCAACAAGAACACTGTTGTAAATAGCCAAAGCGCACAGCATTCCAACAAGTTTAAAGCTTAATGGATCTGTTTCGACTCCCGAGAACCAAATCAAACGTGATTCTTCATTCTCCGTGAACATCCCATATCTAAAAGTATGACAACAAATAAGAATTCATAAACTTGAAACGAGCTGATCCTACAGAGCATATACAATATCATGTCCAGTCAAGTAAACAAAACTAGATATCAAAAATTCTTATAACAACATGATGTTTCTTATAACATGATTTTTTAACCTCAAAAACTTATTGCAACATAATAGCTGAAAATTTAGCAATTCAGTATTTTATACCGTACTTTGCTTGAAGCAGTTCTTGAAATAACAACATGAAGAACTCCTTTTTCACTCCACCAGCATCGTCTGCTTCTTCACCAATAAAATAAACCTGTAAGGAAATAAAATGTGACAAGTTTGCAAGGAGTAACATGTTGCAGACATCTTCATATAAAATTAGATTTGAACAAAATAGAAATAGGAAACAAAATTATTACAGAAACAGTGATTCAAAATTCAGGAAGCTTTCACCATCCCGAGAAGGACTATATTACTGTCCCATCAATTAAATGAAATGATATTCAAATTGAATGGATTGGAAGAATCCTAAATAGGAACAAAAAAGTGATACAACCGAAAAGTGATATGACAACAACCTACTACTGAATCTCACTTAAATTTAAATCGCGTGATACTACTCATTACGTCGACGGAAGCATACTTTCAACGGTTTTTTGAGCTCTATTTCTTTCAGTGACAACAACGCAACCATTGCATCATCAACAATATTATCACGATGAACAGATAACTCAAAGAACGGATGCGACTGAAGAGAGATATTGAAGGGCAATATCATAATTCCTGAAGTTGACATGGAGATCTGAAAACATAACATTACTCCAAATATAAAATCTACCAGAGTTTCAAAAAAGATAAGAGAAATATTAGTGTGCAAAACAGTTGGAAGGCAAATTATCTGTTTGATAACCTAAAGATATAAAAACAGCACGATTCTAACTTTATAAAAACACTACTTAAAACATGAAACATAAACAAGCATACTTGCATCTGAATATGGGCTTCCAATTGTAACAGATTTGTTTTCAATTCTGCATCTAACAAAAACGGATAATTTGACCAGTAGAAGGCATCTTGTTGGCCCTGAAAATACGATCACACTCATCATTCTCATAAATTATTTGAAGAAAATATTTTTCAGAAAATCCATATTTCGAAAAAACAGAAAGTTAAATTCGTTTTATAAAAACATTGATATTAATCGCAAGGGTAAAAAATTGATACACGTTGTTGAGACGATTACATTTGGTATGTGTTTATAATACCATTGCACTAAAGCAAAAATTAAAGCGATCTTGATATTTTCTACATCACTAACAAATATATGCCACTTTGTCATGAATACGATTTGTTTTTACCAAAAGACTACATTTGGTATGTGTTTATATAAATATGAAAAATTGGTATGTATTTATATAAACACATATCAAATATAGCCTTTTGATAAAAACAAATCGTATTTTTGACCAAGTGATATATATTTGTTTTAAAACATTTTATAATACCACATCTTGCACTAACCAAACTGTGAACCAGTCGACAATAACTTACACTAAACTCCCATCTAGCGAGATCATTGGCCATATCGACTTTTTTCTGTAAATTGTGAACATAAAATTTGTCGTAAGCGATCAATTTCTGGGACCTATTAATGGCATTCAGCTGTGAAAGAATCGAACAAAAAGGAATAACATCAGAAGTATTATTCGGCTCATGCTCCACAAGTTGCTCCAGAGCTTTAACCAATGCTGATACTAAACGATTGAAATGTCTCCGTTCAAACAACGACCACCACCTCTCTAAAAAAATGCTTTTTGAAATAAAAAACTGGATCAAGACATTAGAAACTAGAGAAAGAGCTAACAGAAGATTATGAAGCAGAAAACAGTGAGTAAAGTGTCTGTTCGTCCATGTCACTTATTGAGAAATAAACTAACAACCAACCTAGCACCTTCCGATCTGCTTGGCGAAGCAGTTGAATTGAACGAACAAATGGCAAATGAAGAGCTTTGATAGACGCATACGAAGGTGAAGAAAACAAATATAATGAAGGCAAGATGAGATAAACTCGAAGAGATTCCAAGGAGGTTATTTTCTCCCAAGACAGTTCCCACATTCCTGCTGCATCTAAGCTCGTTAGCATCTAAAATTTCTTCAATACACCAAAAAATATAAATAATCAACACAAGATAAAAAAAAATAATAATTGACAATTCAAAAAAAAAGACTGCAGATTAACAAATCCTTTGCCTGTTAATGTGCATAAACCTACCAAACCAATTGCTAAATTAGACAACAAAAGAAATGGCAAATAAATTATTACACAAAAGAAAAAAAAAAAAACAGACTATTTCCGCATACTGATCTGCATCTGCATTTTCCGAGATAATGCTAGATGCCTGCACGACATGATCCAAATCCAAACAGTTGTTCGAAGCACTACATCGATATCGTTTTTCATTTTCGTAAAGAAATGATGCATTTATAGAAGATAAAGACGAAAATACAGATTCCAATTCTCTGCAAATAGTCGAATAAGCAAAGGAAAGCAGATTCTCCGGAAATCATTGCGAAAGACTGAAGAGAAAGTAAAAATATTATTCGGCAGAATTTTCTTCATAACTTTTATTAAATTACCCAATAATAGTCAATTTGTCACCAACTGTAAACAAATCGCGAACACGTTGAAGTGACAAATACTTCGGTTTTTGAAGGTAAGTGCTTGGTCCGGAAAGAACTTCCTGAAAACCACGATATAAAACGATTCGTCGCTGCGATCGCTGTCCTTCCTAATAGACCGCCTGTCATATATTTTATATTCTAAACTTCTCCATTTAAATTTTATATTTGTATTTAAAATTAACATTTAAAAATCTGTTTAAATATCAAAAAAAGAAGCTTACGTATGCGTGTTTTGTATGAATCTGCAAGCAGAAGCTTTGATCCCAACCCGCGAATACTGATGCCACGTTTTTAACCGAACCAATTATACGCGGTGTAATTTGATTTCGTGTATTTCCATGACCTAACTGTCCATTACTATTTAATCCAAAAGTGTGCATCTTTCCATTTGCCACGACTACTGTGTGACATCTAAATTAATAATGAATATGACAGAGAAATAATCAATTTTTGTTTCGAAATTTATTCAAAATAAACCTTCCGCAAGCAATTCTCGTTACATGGCTTCCAAGCATTTCGGTGATACCTCTCATACAGTTGTGTGACCTACTTGGCTGACCACAACCCAGCTGTCCAAACGAATCGCTGCCACACGAAAATACGCGTCCTTCATGAGTGAGTGCAACGGAGTGACTATCACCACATTCAACTGCCACGACTGAATTAAGATTTGGTACTTCACATGGATTGTTGACATCTGCAAAAATCAAAATTTGTACCTGAAATTGGTGAAAAGATCCATACAATTTTTTTATTTAATGTTTTCTTTTTTGAAAGCTGACACTGAAAGATTTAGCAAGAATCAGTTAGATCATATGAAAATTACAATCTGAAGAATTTCTTTTTTATATACAAGAAAGTAAAATGCATATTGAGATGATTGCCGCCTTTTACATATTTCTTTTGCATTCCTTGCCACCCCACTGCATCATTCCTTAAATGCTTATGGCAAACGAACCTTTATTTGTAAAATTTCCAAGTTGTCCTTCTTCATTCTTTCCCCAAGCATATAATGTTCCACTCGATGTCAAAGCCATTGTGAACAAATTTCCCGCACTAACTACATAAAAACATTAATGTTTGCATCTGAATAAAAAACTAATTTAAAAATGATGTAGATTACACATACGATAACTTCTAAAATGAAATTGTGAAGTTTAACCAATTTAAATCATTAGCAAAATTTTCACTTACTCTGAATTATAGGTATAGAAACGAATATTTCAACTTCTGCAGGGGAATGCCGCATTTGTCCATCTGATTGCTCTCCCCAAATAAATACACGACCACCTCAAAAACAAAAATTGATGATCTTTTAAATTTGAAATTTCAATTTATTAAAACCAAAAATACCTCCATTCAAAGACACTGTATGAGATGCCCCACAAGCTACTTGTACTGTTTCTGGCAATGATGGCACACGCCTGAAAAATATGCAAACGAATGTGAAATAAAACAAAAAGCGATCGTATACATAATTAGGTAGTGAAGAGCGTGTATGTATTACCCACGAACGTAACTAGCATACTGACATTTTAAAGTTATGCGTCACAATAATTAAAATTGAATTTCATGCAATTAATCACAAAATTTTCAGGAAAAGAAAGTACTTGGGAGTGTCAGAAATAAGAATATCACAAGACATTGCAAGTTGCCCATGACTGTTACTACCCCATGCAAACAGCCGGCCATCATCTGAAACTGCCATACTATGATTTCGACCAGCTGATATCTGGATGATGCTAACGGTACTTGACATGTGCACTGGATATATAGTATATGAGCCTTCTCTGATACCTCCTCGACCAAGTTCACCATTATAATTACTACCGCATGACCATACCTATAAACATGTAATGTATTTTAGCAATAAATAAAGGGAAAGGATAGAAGGAGGACACTCTCATCTACTTTAAAATCTCAAATACATCACATTATCAAACAACAAAGATAGAAAAATGAAAATTCGAAAAGTACCAAGCCAAACCTTCTACATACTTAATCGAGAGTCTCGTCACGCTTCAAAAAACACTTTTTGAACCATAAAATTAGGTTTAATTGTAAAAAATTCTAATCAGAAACAATAGCTTGAAAATGATATTCAAAACAGTTAAATTAAAAATCTTAAATTAAAAATTAAAAATCCGTAGCAAAAAACTATTAATTTTTCAGCCGTAAGTTAAAAGAATGATTTCCAAATGATATACCCATGAAATTTTTCAGAACTTCAAAAAGATTCCAGAACTTCACAAAAAGGAAATAAGAAAGATATAAAGATCTAGAAATAGAGCTAACTGAAAAAAAACATGCTGAAATAATGAAAGAATTTAAAAAACATATCGACCCAAAATGAAAGAAACAAGAGACCGCACCTTCCCATCATCAGCCAAAAATAGCGTATGCTTTTCACCGCTAGCAACAGCTTTTACAGTAACACCATGCTGTCCGGTAGGTGCACCATATACTAACTGAGGAGAAAGCATCATTTGAGCATCATTTCCAGCAGAATGCGGCCGAAAACCCAATTGCCCATCACCTGCACATCCGAACACGTACAACTGGCGACGAGCCATGATAATGTCTGCAAAGAAATGAAAATTATTTCCTTTAAATATAACAAGTAAAATTAGCATAAGTTATTACCTACTCATACAGTCACTAACAAGATTTTTACGCATATGTGTAGTCAGCATTACCATCTAAACTGTTACGCAACTGTACTATGGGTAGCGGCAGAAATCTAAACTGCTACGCACTTCCAGCGGGAAATATTAATGTGAATCGTTACTAACGCAGCGGGAATATTAGTCATACGAAATATTAGCAACCAAATGTTCCCATTGAATATCCATGCAATGAACTTAAGATGAAAATTAAACATGAGGTCAAGCAGGCAGTCCCAATCAAACTTCCCGTATTTCAACTTAATAGAAACAAACAGCAAAAACAATACAAATATGTAAACAATTCAAAGGACAATGAGTAAATAACGGTGCGTCCTTCTATTACAAGTTAGTACCTATTTTGGAAGTGAGCATTTGACAAACTATCTGATAGTTAGCGCTGGCAATCGGTGTATGGGACTAATTGATGAGTAATTCTATCGAGCTTCAAAAAATTTGCGCAAAAAAATTAAATTTCCAATGCGGAAAATGAGCGTTGTCGGATTCTTCTGCTGCTGTAAATCTATGTTATTCATAAGAAACAGAGTTTTAATAAGAAAAGTTAAATCTGTGCGATTAAGTTAGCTGCATTTTTGCTTGATATATTGCCATTTTTTATCCTTAAATGTTTAATCTTCGGAAACCAAAATATTTCCGCCAGTTTCCAATTCATTTTGCTGATCGATATTATTCAGCTTCATCTTGATATTATTCGCTAGAGAGGAAAAAGTAATTTTCGATCATTAATCGAAGTCTTCCCATTACTCCCGATTTTGTGTTGCTTATATGAATCCCACTTCATTTTCGATTTTAAAATGAAGAGTATTTATTATCAGATTTTGTATTTTTGGCCATTTTTTTTGATAAAAATCCGAATGGCTAATAAATTGGAAGTGCTATCCTGTATTCGACTTTTTGTCAAATTATGGATAATTTTGACTGTATCTACTATTGGATATGGTTATTGACATTTTTGTCGCATTACTTGTCATTCCGTTCATAATTACTATTTAATTTTTGATTTTATTTTCATACCACATACACTTAGCTTGCATCTAAAATTATCTCACTTCGAATGATAACATCCATATTAATCTCACTATTCCAATTGTCAATGAAATTTAACACTTCGGGCAATAACTTGTAATTATTTTAGAAGTTTCTCAAATGCTTTCTAAAAGACTACTTCGTCCCTCTATGAAAAGAGTACCTGCATGACCTTCTCAAAGTTCTTCTTTAACTTAAATTCCATCTTCGGCGCATCAGTTAATAGTAAAGAGTTTATTGACCAGCTATGATTATACATATTACTGTGAAAATAGAAAAAATTAAATAGTAGAGTAATGCAAGAACAAATACACAAGAGATGCTAAAAAAATTAGCAATATTAAATCGTTATTAACTGATTAACCATAAAAATTATATTAAGAGATTAAAGTTAACTGATCAACTAGCCAGTGACCAATAAAAAAGTAGCTGATGATATAATTGGTAAAAAATTGGAATTTGAAGATCAAATTGAAGAAGATGAATTCTTAACCTTTTCATTTTTCGTTAACTATTTAACTTTCATCTCAATGAATTATTTTCAAGTTGAACATTTGAAATTAAATTTGAAAAGCAAATCTTATTCTATCTCCTTTCTAAGTATCTGTTCCTCGTTTCAAACTTCAGATTTTAGGATAAATTATTTGTGAACTGAAATATTAAATTTAAATTAAATAAAAATTTGATCCTGATGTCTTTTTTCTTATTTTCATTTATCCCATCTCCTTCATATCTTTTAAATTTCCTCCGAATTTTTTGTTCAAATTTAGAAATAAAAATTATGCAGAATTTTTATTTCTAAATTTGAACAAAAAATTTTTTATACACTGTGCCATCTGTCATAGTGTATTAAAAAGAGAAGGACATTAATGCATTGGGTCTTTATCACTGTTTAATTAGGTCTTTGTATCAGTAATACGTACGCCGCACCACTTTCCAACTACCAAACGTAGCATAATGTTCAGGATATTCTTTGCTCGTATTTTGAGATTTCCCGATCATTGTTAATTTCAATATCATGACAGAATAAGGAGCAGAATTTTTCAAATATAAATTACTTCTTGTCGTGAAAGTGTTTTGATTTAAGTATTTTGTTGTTTCGCAGACAAAGATTGTTGTAAACTTGTGGAAGATGAGTTTCATTTTTCCTGACATTACAAGACAATATCAGGATAGAGTCCATCACTATTTGGCAGTACCGCTGGTAGTGCCACACTTTTCTGGTGTAGATAATGAATGATAAAACTGCTCGCACCGAATTGAGCCATGCCATTTAAAACCCTTTTTGATATAAAGGATAAGAAGGCTCTGTAACCAAAGGTTGCTTTACATTAGCAACTACAGCACGTTATTATATCCTTTAGACACAAAGCAAAATAAACATAGGATTAGCGTAACATTTGAAACAGTTTGACGTATAGATGAGTAATTTTTAATAGTACAAATTTTCATGTGAATTAATTTACCATATATTCAAGATATAGGTCTGCGAGGTGCTTGAGATACATAAATTTTAAGCTGGAAGAAGTTAGGTATGAATTGGATAAACGATAAAAAGTAGAGCGAATTTCTAGAATGCAAATGTCTTAATTATTTAGATATAAAATTGTTTTATAAGGTTATTTCGGTTTTCTCGTTAGTTCTAGGACATTTTTTTGCTATCAGTACTTGAATTGAATGAACTATGAATGAAACAATCATTTACGAAGACAATTGAAGATGATAATCTAATAAGTGAGTAATTTTTGACTATTTAAAAATTTGGAAGGAATACAAAAAATGGACTTTTCCTTATATCTCGTCGATATAAGCTTGATTACTGGAAAAATTTGCAACAGCTTTTCACTCTTCACTGATTTCGCTTATTTCAGGTTCCGTCTAATTTCGGAATGTTGCGATTCCGGAAACTTGTTGGAATATGTGATTTCAGAGCTTGCGAATTCAGCTCAACTGCACCTTTTGTGAAGAATATTTGTATAGTTGGATCCGGCTTGATGGGTTCTGGAATTGCACAGGTTTTTCATATTTTTCCAAGTAACTTGCTCTAAATTTACTCATTTTTTCATTATGTATTGCGCTGATCTTTTATATTCCCGAACCCTTTTTTAAACTTTATATTGGAAATCATGCGATAAGAATGAAATGACCAGTATGGTTTTATGCACATTATATATAGTTCTTATATATTCATTTATTATAGGTAGCAGCGCAAGCATCGATAATGGTGACATTAGTCGACAAATCGGACGCTGCCCTAAATAAATCGGAAAAGTATATCCAGAACAATTTGGAACGACTAACAAAAAAGCAGTGCAAAGATGTTAAGGTGGACTAGACTTTTACCGTATCGTATTATCTCCTTTTTTTTAATTCTTCCATTTCCTTTTCCCCGCTTATTATTTTTTTCATATCAGTTGGCTGCCAATGATTCTTTATAGCTAAGAGTTTTATCAATCTATGTCTACTATAGACGCAAGCATCAATCATTGAAAATGTAATGGAAAAAATAATGATGACGAAAAACCTTGAGCAAGGTGTTCAAAAGGCAGATTTAGTGATTGAAGCAATTATTGAAAATCTACCAATGAAGCAAAAATTGTTCGAAAGAATTGAAGCTGTTGTTGCAAGGTTTTTTTCGTGATTAATTTTGTCATTTGATTGCTAAAATCAGTATGATCCTCAATAACTGCAAAAGTGATTATCCAACATCAAATATCAACTCTTGCTCAGCAACATTCCTCGACTAGTCTGTTTTGCGATTACAGTATTGAAGCTATTTTGTAAGTGCTGAACTATTAATGGAAATACCAGAACTACCCGCACATTCATCGCCAACACAGTTTTGACGGTTTTCCGATTAATACGATTTTAGCTATTCCACCGTTTTCTATAAAATCAGTCATTATGGTTTCAGGCCGATATTGCTTGCCAGCAACACATCTTCACTAAGGCTACAAGATATTGCTAGGAAATTGAAAAACAGATCAAGATTTGGCGGTCTGCATTTCTTCAATCCTGTACCAATAATGAAGTTATGTGAGGTAAATCATTGCCTTCAATCCCCGTAGCCTTTCAATGATTCACATACCCGTTGCGTTTCAAAAGACTATCACATGTGATGCGGTTTAACCTGTCATTGAACACAAATCCAACGAGAAAATCAGTTGAGCCACATCCACAGTTTAATATTTTAAAGCTTATCAGCAAAAGTATGAACCTTTGCTCAGACATTCATATATGAAGACTAAGTTGCAGGTAGTACGGCTGACAGAAACATCAGATGATACATTTAATGCCCTCCAGACGTTCGGGAAAACGGTTGGTAAAACAACCGTCGCATGCAAAGTAAGCTCAATAACCTGACCGTCACGCAGTAGTACTTCAGCCACATCCACAGTTTAATATTTTATTTGGAATTCAGGATGTTCCCGGTTTCATAGTCAATCGTTTACTGATTCCGTATTTGATAGAAGCAATTCGAATGACTGAACGGGGCGATGCATCACCACGGGACATTGACACAGCAATGAAGCTAGGAGCTGGCTATCCAATGGGACCCTTTGAATTGTTAGATTATGTGGGTCTTGATACGGCAAAATTCATCCTGGATGGTAAGTTTATGAATCACACAGCTCATATGTAGAAATGAGATTTTCAGCGGGACCTGATTTCAGGATGGCACGAATCCTATCCAAATGAAAAACAGTTTGATCCGAACCCGACGCTGAACAAACTGGTAGCTGAAGGAAAGCTTGGAAAAAAGTCGGGAGAAGGATTCTACTCTTATAAATAGAAGGCACCAAGTACAAAGTAACTGCATACAATGTCGTGCTATCGTTTTGACCGAATAATAGCAATTGCATCTGCAAAGCATGAAAATGAAATTTTTCGAATTCTAGGCTCTATTAATGCTCATCTGTCGTTCTAAGTATCAGAATGCAGTTTAGTATCTCAAATTATTCCACTCCATTAACGACAGTTAACATCAATTATGCTTGAAATGGTAGAAATGAAGTCCTGAACAAAAGTTTCATTTAAAAGCGAGAGATGAATGTAAACAGATTACAACAAATTCATGCAAATAGATTAATACAATATATGCAAAATAAAAATTCTATATCTATTACTTTTATTTTGCAGAATAAAAAATCTTTTTGAAAAATGAAGAGAATGAAGAGTTGAAATTCCCACATCTAAGAGTTTCTTGCTACTCTTTCTCTTTTACTTGAACATCCCTTCTAAAATTCTTTAGAAAGTTTAACAGTCAAAAATTAATTAAGTTAAAATCCCAACTCCATACACTTTGTATAGCTAACAACAGCATTGGGATTAATTGTCATTACGCCATAAGGGCTTTGAATTGATTATAATTTTCCATCACATTGTTGTCAATAGCGAATTCCTTAAAAAGCTCTTTCTCGAGTGCCTCCCGAAATTCAAATAGGTCCCTCCAATGCTGGAAACAGAATCAATTAACAGATCCAATGCTTGGTAATAAACAAGCTATTTGTCTAGATCCATATCTAATGATTGCTACTGATAGCCACTCACCAAATTTTCTTGGGTGACGTAAAATGTAAAATCTTTACAGACGTAAAATCTTTAGCATGTGAAGCGGCAGCACTTGAGCTCCTCCATTTACTATTATGCTTTTAATTATATATCACAAGTTTTGTTAATTTGATCAAATAAACCATTTGAAGCATCTTATTTTTAACTGTATATGCCGAATTCTAAGGCACTGGTTCCTGAAGTACTTAAAAACAAAATGCTGACCTTTAGAAATACATTCTTGAAACGTCCAGTGATATACAGGTACCAGTTATTCTGGAAATCACTCCCACTGCTTTCGCTATTGACGATGTGTTCCGCTAAAGTGACGGTAAACTTCTAAAAATAAAGTCTGTCATCTATTCGGTTGGTGAAGAAGACAACTACCAGCTCTACAATGATAATTCTTTTCAGTGTAATATTCATTAGGATAACTCTCCTAATAATGTCATATTTCATTCACAGAAAGTTAACGAAAACCGCCCGCTGATAATTTCGACCACTATATATTGGAAATATGAAATAGCGCTTAATACTTTACTTTGCATCATTTTATAGCAAATAGTCATTAACACCGTTTCTGACACTAAATACATATAGTTGCAATTCCCTAAAGCAGGTTAAGAATCAGGAAGAACTTACATGGAGTACGTCAAGAAGCAAGTTTTTCAAACACTCATGTAAATCAGCAAATTCGCTTTCTTTTACAAATGTATTAGGATCAGCCATATCATGTTCATCTGTTTCCATATCCTTCAAGAATGTTGTTCATCCCAGAAATAAAGAAATATTGCATGAAATCCTAAGCAAAATGATAGTTCGAATTGAACAGTTCTTTTCGTTTATGAAGAATTATTTAATCGTCCTTACAAAAAATAGCATGATGAAACTAACAAAATCATCCTTTTCGTGATCCGACTCTTTCTGCTCTTTTTCCAGTTTTGAGTACTCTATTGCTTGTCTGCTTCGATGAACATGCCCACTGACATGTTCAAGGGCTCTGTCCAGGACTTCCCAAATCCATATTCTAAAATGTAGTAAATCAGTAAAATGCTACTAGTAAAACTGCCATTAATAAAGTTGACTTCCTAAATTGTGGAACGAAATTTTTCATACCGTTCAAACTCAGGTTTCATTTCATCACTGAACAACCAAGCCACAACAGCACTGGCGTCAACCAGTGACATTTTCAATAATTTTATCACCAGTACTATTATCATCTGGAAAAAAAATTCACTTACATCTAAATATTTACATACATTAAGAACATGTAAAACAAGCATCAAATGATGAATGCAATTTCTACAAATTATTTATCTATTTGTCGTATTCTATGCGCGACAACCTAAATACTCCAATAAATTTTATATGTTGAGCTTTATTAAAGCATTCAAGTGCAGCTAAACCGAACGATGCCATAAGTTGGAAGGCAAAGATCATTTAGAATGGCCCATCCAAGGCCTAACGAGTCCATGATTTAAACAGAACTTGATAAATAGCATCAAAAAGAAAGTTGATCAATAAAAAAACAGCTAATAATCTCTCAAAATATACCTGTCCATGGAGCTTCCAAGTTTCATAAAGTGTCCTCAAAATAGTTAACTGCGCATCCTCCCTACCACCAATAAATTCTTTCAGAGTTGAATAATATCTGTAAAGACGAATATGGAAGATCTATCCGAAGAAAATAACGCTTCGATACCAAGTTATATATATAAACTCACTAGCCGAAATACTCACTAGCCTTTACCAAAGCTTTATGTTTCCAAGAGCCAAAATGTTAAGTCCTAGCTAAGTTTTGCTGTTTACTCATACAACCTTAGGACATAAATCTGAACGCATAACTGCAATGAGGATGAGTTGCATCGTGCATGCTTAATAAAGCAAAAACAGCAATGACTATTAACAGAGCAGAAAATGAGAACTTTCAAGCTCACTTACCTACGGGAAGTTTTCTGACAAATTACAAAAACCTTATAGATAAAATAAGAGGTGAAGCACCTAAACAGACTCACCTCGTTAATGCAGCAAAATTATGACTGAAAGTTTTCCGAGCCAAATAAAGCAATACTTTGAAAAAAACGGACAATCTAGAGTTTATATCCATTCGATTTCCAGTTTTGCTACGTAGTAAATCAGTCATCTCATCGGCTGATATCTTTTCACGGAAGGCTTTTTCCAGAACCATAGCAAAGTCGCGGTCTGGATGTTCGTCTTCAATAAAGAAACAATTATGTGGATTTAACTCACTTTTATTGGTATAGCATTTCACTTTTTGACTCTCTTGAGTATTAGAAGAAAATATGTGTTATGGTATATTCAAATGAAATATAACTTGTGCACGGCCATCGAATTGTACTAAAGTAATGCTTCTTAAAATTCATTGTAGAATTTGAAGAAAGCAGTACCAAAATTTGATTATAAAATTTTGAGTAAAAGAAAAATCACCATCATTGAGATCGTAGGATATGACAGGCTTCTGCGGTATCATTTTTGCAAATGCAACGGGTAAAAATTCTGCTAATCTTTGGTGATATGAAAGCCGCATACACTTATCCAGTACCTGCACTCATTTCTTATAGATAGCAGAAATTTACATAAAACACTAGAGAAAACCAAATTGTTGCATTGTAAAGCAATTTCTAGTAGTTTTTCGTCAAATTTTCAGTTTATCAGAAGTTTGAATTTTTGAAACAAAAATTTATGTATTGCAATCCAATCAAAGGAAATATAAAACAAGACACTGCAATCTATTCACCTCCCGTACGAACATATGCTTCGGAGCAAGACGGTCTAATTCAACGCAGTCACTCCAATCCGACCATGACCATCGGTACTCAAAATTTGACATGTGATAGCTGAACCAATCAATTAATCTGCAAATAAAAATATGATGGAGATAAAATGGAAGATGAAACGAGAAAATAATTATGAAACTTACCTATCAATACAAGCAACTTGCATCGAATCTATCCTTTGGTAAAATATTTCGGCAGCCTGTGCTATTACCTGAAGAAAATTAATTAAAAAATTCCACTTAAAATTATTTACTCAAAAAAATCAAGTTGCACCAAATATTTAAAGTAAAAAATTAAAGAAAATGCTTATTCCTTCACCCTTATCCTTCAGAATGAAGTTGGTGAGGAAAAGAAATCTATTCCAAATTGCAGCAATAAAAACATGTGAACTAAAAAGCGCTGAGTCAAAACGAATTTAAAATAGTAGAATAGAAAGAAATTTGAATATAAATGGAGTAATTAATTTCCTAATAACAATAAATTTTGAAAAACGAATCACTAAGAGAATATCTCTTCCAGATTTACTTACCTGAGGCATACTTTTAGTTTTGCATAATTCAATCAATAAACTTCCATAAAATATTGGCCGAGTAGGTGCCTCGGGTAAATGAAATAATTGCGAAAAAATCACTTCCAATATAACATAGTTTATTGGTACCAGTGTGCGTTTATCGTATTCCAATAATCTTGATGCACTAAAATTAGAACACTTAATTAAATTTCCTACGGAACGTACAGAATGAAATACATTAAGGAATGAGATCAAGAACGAAAAAAATACAGTGAATTAGAAATACATACCATTTTTTTCTATTTGTTTTTTCCTGATCCAAGATCCACCGTAATTCCTCTTCAACCAAGAAACGTTCTATAGAATGTGCACCAGGAAGAAGCGGTCCCTTAGGCGTATAAAACATTATCAATAAAATATTTAAAAAAATGAGTGCTTTTAGCTAAAGAAATCGATATGAATCAAACTATAGCGCTATGGATTGAATCAAACTATGGATTAATTAAAAGTAGGAACTCTTAATAAAGATTAAGAATAGTAAGTATAAAAAATTCACATCATCTGGACAATCGGCGTAATCAAAAAAGCGGAATACCACATTCGGAAGAGGATAGATACTATTTGGAGTATGGGGTGGCGGCTCAAAGCTGAAATAACGGTAAGTTAGAGAGTAATTAAATTAACATCAAAAAAATGGCCCTTTTAATTAAGCATGGTGAAATGCAGTGAAAACAACCAATAGACAACGATGAAAGTGGCGCTAATATTACGAGAAAAAATAAGCACGAGAATAAAAATCAGTATAAGAACAAATAAAATGAAAAAGCATACCTTGGCAAACTATGCTGTAGCGCATCCGCTAATGTTCCGTCAAAAGAAACATAATGACGGCTGATAAACTTTTCCCTCCATCTGTCGGACTGCAATTTCAAGATTTGTGCCCATAAACAATCCAAATATTCTTCTTGTTCATGAATGGACTTCGTCCAAACTTGTAGGATCTGCAAAAGCATATCAAAATCTATTAAGGTATGAAAAAAATATCAGATCACAATAATCTAAGCTACCTACTCCTTAAAAAAAAAACGATATAACAAACATCAAAAATCCCAATTACCTTCACATGCTCCTTATTTCGAGAATGCAGATAATTTTCAACAACGTTCAACATGGCATTTAACTGTTCTTGATTCTTTTCGGCAAGTTCTTGGCCAACCCAAGGAAGACAATGTAGAAATACATAGATAAACCAATCACGCCTTATCTAAAAACAAGAAATTCGTAAACTGAATCAAACCTTTTTAATGGTAACTATTTATAGATGCGAATGGTCCATTAATGCAAAAATCCACTGATGAATATAGGAACTAAATAATACTGACAACTCTAGATACTCCTTGAATTCGTATTTCCAACACAATTTAAAGTCACCAATGAAATTCTAATTTTTGAAGCTGTACCTGCGGCATCCCTGTTTGGGAACCACTACTTACGAGATCTCTAAGGAAATCTACAAACGAATCCAATGTGATTACCCTGCAGTTGACCAAATCAGAAAAAAATATCACCTAAAACAGAAATTATGAATCATAGTTGCGATCGAAATATAATAAATAAATAAGTAGTCTCAAGAAAGCGTTTATGAATACCCCTTGAATTGGTATTACCAACAGAATTTTGTGTTAAAATTACCACTGAAATTTCTCATTTTTGATTCTTTTGTTTTCTCAACTACAATTTCAATGCAAACAACATAAAAAAATTAGTGGAAAATTTTACAATATATAAAGCGTGGTCAAAATCGTTCGCTTTCATCAATTCATTCAATCTTGTAAGCAGTTTGTCCAAAAGCTGTAAATTAAAAAAAAATGAAGAATTAAATGAAGAATTAAATTGACAGCCTCTGCATAACAATCACTGTAAAAAAAACTCAAGAGAATCTAAAAATAAAGTGTAGCACCTCCGCACCGAAATTGTATTTCTTCGCATTTAGCAGCCCAACCAAAGTAGAATAAACCGTTAATTTATCCGGCATACTGCATATACTGAAATACAAAACATCAAGCAAAAGAGTTTTATGGAATTTTAGACCAACAAAATGTCGATCAGACATTCTGATTAGTAAGTTGAAATTTAACTCCAAAAATATTAAAAAAAACTAAACATACCAGGTCACGAGGATTTCAATGATGTGTTCTTTGTATGTGTCCAAATCAGTTTCCAAAACATGCGCCAGGCTTTCCAGATTTGATTCTAACGATGAATTGCTCTAAAAGACTTCACCAAAAAAATTCTTAGAGCAAAGATTTGAATTAGACATGCCGAAACAGTTGAAAGAGAAGCTTAAGAGTGTCACGTGGGTACTGCCCGAACCAAACAAGATCAAGCAGTTTTCTTTCTATATTTTTGGTTATTACGCTATTACACTAACACTACCCTTCTGCTTTCCTATTTGCGCGAATCAAATTCAGTGTATTTTTTGGACCTTAAAATACTGGATTGCTTCCCGTCACTATTACTGGAAAACTTTTTAAAGATGTATTTTGAATAATAATAATAAGGCACTTTTCATAAACAAATACTCGTTGCGAAAGGTAAACTTCCGGAAGACAATGAAAATATATACCTTCTCACCAACATGTGTGAGCAATTCTGTTAACTTGTACATAATTTCATCTTTAACCGCATCTGGACCATGTCGTTTTCGTTTGCTTGAAATATCATCTACAAAAATTCTATTACTTGTTTAATAATTAAAAACAGTACTGCGATTAATTTATTTCACATTAATACATATATAATTCCGCATAACCTTTATTTTAATACTTTGTTTCTCTCAAAAATTTAAATAAATCCACCTTCTTCCAAATCGACATGTCGTCGCCTTTCCCGCTGATCTCCGTCATCCTGCTTGCCGAAACGGCGTCCATCACTTAAATTTCGTCTTCGATAAATACGACCTCTGTTGCCGACACCAAAATCAGAACGACCATTTCGTTCCTTTTCTTCTTCATCGGACATTACGTGTCTCTATTCTGGATAAATACAATAATGATGCTCATGTAATTTGCATCTTCGAAATTTTCAACTTACAACTGAACACGCCTCTAAAAAATCCAAATATTACAAGAAAAAGAACTGATGCTCAACAACTGATTATAATCGTAGCTTCGAATTATGAGTTGTCATCTATTTTTTAGATCCGAAAATCGTTTGTTTGAGTCGAAGAAGCAAAACCTATGATGATAGCAATTTCTATACTTTTATGTGTAAATATACAGAGAGAGAGAGAAACAGAGTGAGAGAAAAAATAAAAAGAACTTAGTTCAGGTTAACCTCTTTAGATTCAAGATGCAGAAATAGAAACATTTACGCAAAATCTTAAATAACATGAATCGCATCCAATCGTCTTTTTGTCCGTCTTGCTTGTTGTCATATTCACAGACAGTTTCGCTGTGTTACTAAAGTGTTCATGGTTGCAATGGCTTTGAAAACGCTCATCCACTTCGTGCTGCTCCTGTAAATCTCAATGGCGGTTGTAGCAGTCGGTGATAATATTTGTTAGAAAATCGAACTTATCTCAATTTAAGACATCCTAAAGAATAGAAATTTTTTTATTTTATCAATTTTAATAAGTGTTTACGTTTATAAATTTTTTTTGGAATCGTAAATTATAAAAAAGAAAGTCGTTGTCAATATTTTACGATACTGTTATGTCACTTAAAAATAAAATAATCGATGGATGTGTTGAAATTCTCTGAAGAACATATTTTTCATCATAAATATAAGTTGGAGAAAATCTTAGGATGTCAATGTTGTGTTAAAGAAGTTAAAATATGCATAAAGTTTGGGAGTAACTGGGAAAATCATGTTAATCTTGGTAATACGAAATAATGTTTTCTTCGAATTGCTTTAATTTGCTTTCATTGCTTTAAGAAATTAAAGAAAGCAAATTAATGAAATAGAAATAAGAAATAAATTATGCCAGGATAAAATTCGGACTCATTTAAGAAATTTTGGCAAGAATTACGAGTGATATCAAATCGATATGATTTTAAACAAACCCGTTTAACTTCAATTAGGAAATTATGAACTCCAGTGACTGAATTTCAGTTTGCCTTCGGTGTGATCGCCCTCTTGTGAATTTTTATTCCCGGGAATGATAATATGTGTGAAATAAAATCAATATTCAATAAGATATGATGGAAGCCTGTAATTCCTCACTAAATCAAATTATTGTTCCGAAGGCGCAATGAAGCACTAATTTGCTTTTCTGCCATCTCATTTAAATTTTTTATCTAATTTAGTTTTTCTTTCTTTTTTACTTTAGTTCATATTTTTTCCGAACTTTTTTCAATTTGCAGTGTGTACGGTGAATTGAAATTTTAAAATTTATTCCATTATTACTTTTGTTATGTTTAAAAACATAACTATAATTATCTGTTAAACAATCAATTCATCTTTCATATAAGCTGGCAAGAAAATGAAATTTTGAAATTGGGCAGCTAACTGTCATTAAAAAGAAATTTAAAGTAACGAAATCAATTGTGCAAACAAATATTGCAATGGCAAAGAAATCAAATTTTTAGATTAGTTTAAACAAAAAGTCATTAGCACAATTTAAAATTATTTAACCAAGTTCCCTAACAAAAAGAACTGAATAAAAACTTAGGAATTGAAATGGATTATATTTGTTAGAGTTCATTTTACTTTTATAGATGAATTTAAATCTATCACGATTAACTAGATAATATCAGCATTTGATGAAACTTATTAAAGTATATTATTAGCAAATAACAATTATCATTTACTAGTAATAATCATTATCTGATCAAAAAATCATTTCCATTTAGCTCGTTATTAATTAAAACTTAAGTTAATACGATTGTTCTATAAGCTATATATTATTTTAAAAAAAGGTTACAGTATGCTTTGTTTGAATAACTTCACTTTAAATTATAAATGAATATTAGCTTTTAAACTCATCATGTTGAATATATGCTGTAGCATAAATCACATGAAAAAGTATTCTCATAATTTGCCGTTTCATAAAAAGGTGCTTTTTTCTTTTCTACCATTAAATTATTAGTAATAATTGCGTGAATAAAAAATTATAATCTGTCACTAATATTTCTAAATTTGTAATTAATTTGCGGCTGAAAATTATTATTAGCAATTAATGGCATCAAATTTGTATATTTCAAATCAGACGTCCATTTCATATCCATTTTTTGTCATATTTCTTTTCCTTAAATTCTTTTGTCTCTTTTTTTTAGTTAATTTTTTATCCTTATGAATAAATCCTTTTATAAGAATTATGATTTTTACAGATTTCTATGCATTGATTTCTTTTTCTCTCAGCATATATTTATTGATTAGATTAGTTTGATATGAATGAATCATTTCTTGTTGCCAGATTATAGCCTTCTAATATTAATTTATTATTATTACGGTAGCTTGAAAACAATTATTTAGCTTATTTTTGGTTTTAAATTCAAATTTTATTCATTTATAATATTTTAACCAAATGTTTAAATGTATACAAAAAAAACTATAAAACCTGTAGCAAAAATTCCAATTACTGAAAGATTTTTGCTGTTTATAAGCTAAAAATATTATTTTTGATATTTCCGTCGAAATTACATCATTTCTTTCAATTAATCTTCTCAAATACAATAATGATATTAGCGTATCAATTTGAGAAATTGGAGAATGGAAGAGAAGAAAAGAAGAAGGAGAAAATTGAGATAACAATATTTGAGAAGATGAGCTGAAGAGGTTTCGATGAAGTTCGATGTATACTTATTTCAACTTGGGATGATGTAAAAGACGAAATAGAAGAGATCCTTTTTAGGATAATGCTTGTTTTCCTCTTCCAGCCAATAGTGTCTGCTTTCAATATATTTCATTTTACTTAAGACAACAATAAAAGTAGTAATAGTAATGATGATAATAACATTATCGAATGAAAGCTTTAAATTTTGAGATTGAAGTTAAAATTCATTTAAATTAACATTATTTTCATATATTTGAAATTCCTGCCAAATAATAGGAACACAAGTATTTTAGTTCATTATACATTAATAGTTTTGACAGTGACATGGTATGATGTATTTTTAGAACTTATTTTAAAATCTCAGCATGAATGATATCATCCGATAGTCTGTGAAGTTTAATATAAGCTTTATTAGGAGCTTTCATTGGTAGCATCAATTAAACATTCATTTTATCTCCTAATGATTCATAGTTTTCATTTCCATTATCATCGTTGAAATTATAAAATTTTCTTATTCAATTTCTTTCAAATATCAATTAATCTTTCTTTGTTTCACTTAAACTTTTCGATTGTTCACCGCTGACAACAAAGTCCGACAATTATAATTTCATTTGCAGTTTACTTGACGATGGATGATTTTATAATGCTGTCTACAAATAATAACAGGATATATACGTGATGGATGAATATAAATTTACACAAAGTACGAGGTCAGTCGCAGATGGCGTTAAACCCAGTTCAGGAAATGTTTGTGTGATGTCAGGGAACTCTCGTCTTGGATACATTTGCATTATATAAAAATCATCACCTTGACGTCCATCCTGAAATAAAAGATCGAAGTGATAATTACTGCAATTACTCCTCCTAATACTACTACAATTTCATCCTTCATAGTGCCGCTTATCCAATGAATGTCAGAAACACAAATAATATTTGGAAATAAATTATAAATGATTACCATTACATGTAATATTGTCGAAGCTGCAAAATGGTAAATTTTTTAGTTGATAAGAATTATCAAATAGTTTATTGCGATTGCTTAAAAGGTCAAAAAATTTTAATATCAAAGTTTGCAAAATAAAATACTTTAAACCATTTTCAATATGTTGCTGCAAGTTTATATTATTGAAGAATTTAAAATAGAAACATGTTAGCACTTGCAACAATCTGGATGAAGAAACTACGAAAAAATTATGAAATTAAGGAAAATTCAAAGTAATCTTTTTATGAATGATTGCTCGCATTACGGCTGGAATGAAATATAAGTTTCATTTAAATTTCTCTTAGCCATTTCTTCAATTTTTTTAGCGATATCAAGAAATTAGAGCAGTTATATTAACTAATTCACATTTTGTTGCAACTAAGTTGTTTGAATAATTTTAGACATTGTCTCTTTTTCTTTCTTTCACGTCACTGTCATTGCAAAGACTTCAAAATATGTGCATTAATGTTACTGACAGCATATGGAACGTTTCATTAGCTAACAAGCCTAAATACCCGAAAATATCCTTTACTTTCAGGCCTCAATTTATCACTATTCATTGACTTACATCATTTTTGCCCTTTCTTTCTTTTAATATATTAATTATTTCATTTCAAATATTACTCGTTACTTTTCCTAAAAGTTTGCAATTTATTTTACTCATTCTATTTCTCTTTTATATAACTCATTCATTGAAAATTAAAAAAAAAATATTCCATTTAATGCAATTAATATTTATAAAAATTCTTATTTGAATTTCAATTGATTCCGATTTTTCCAATTTTCGCCATACATAGATTGCATAGTTATGCATAATAATATAATTTATCTTATTATAAATTATAAATTACTGTGTCAATATAAAAACTTCTTTTTAAATAACCTTTCACAGTTGCACTAACATATTAATTATTATATAACTATTGCTTTTTCACAAATTGCTTAAAACAAATGGCCGATACTGCGACTCGAACATATTCCTATAAACTGTAAACTGCTACTATTATTTATTAAGTCAATTTACTGTCACNTGCACTAACATATTAATTATTATATAACTATTGCTTTTTCACAAATTGCTTAAAACAAATGGCCGATACTGCGACTCGAACATATTCCTATAAACTGTAAACTGCTACTATTATTTATTAAGTCAATTTACTGTCACTTTGAAATATAATATTTTACTATATGACATAGACTTGTCACTTTACAGTATGATGTGCAAAATTAATTACCATAGCGTTCTTATGCTTCGTTGAA